TGGACTGAAGCAGGCAGCCTCAAGTTGGAATAAAGAGTTGCATAATGCTTTGATTAATATTGGTTTTAAGCAGTCTGTTCATGAACCATGTATTTATATTCTCAAACAAGATAACCTTTATTTAATTTTAGCAATTTATGTGGATGACATTTTTGCATTTGGTAATAATCAAAAGAAAAAGCATGATATATTTTCTCTACTAGATAGTAAATTTAAATTAAAGAATTTAGGTCCCATAGAACATGCCCTAAGTTTGAGAATAAGAAGAGTAGGTTCAGAATTAATTGTTGATCAGAAAAGGTATATAGAAAATATATTAAGTGTGTATGGAATGCAAGATTGCAAACCTGTAAATTCACCAATTCTACCAGGTTTGAGGATGAGTAAAAGTGACACCGTTGATCCAAAAATTCCATATCAAAATTTAATTGAAGCTTGATGTATATTGCTCTAAATACCAGACCAGACATATTACATGCAGTTTGTGTATTATCTCAATATAATAATTGTTATACAAAAGAACATTTTGTACAGGTAAAAAGGATTGTAAGGTATCTGAAAGGTACAATTAATTATTGTTTAGTATATAAGAAGTCAAAGAACTTCAGTTTATATGGATATGTTGATGCCGATTGGGCAAATTCAGAAGACAGGAGATCATATTCCGGATTAGTGTTTAAACTTGGTGATAATCTTATTGCCTTTGAAAGTAAAAAGCAAACTTGTGTTTCATTATCATCAACTGAAGCGGAATATGTTGCCCTGGCTCAGGGTGCCAAGGAGGCTATTTTCTTAAAGAATATTATTAAAGAACTATATGTAGAGATGATAGATAAACCTATTATTTTGTATAATGACAACCAGTCATGTCATAAGATAGCTGCTAACAAGGTAAATAGTAATAGGACTAAGCACATAGACATTAAATTTCATTTTATTAGAGAAGCAGTTGAGAGTAACAAAATAGAGATTAAGTATTTGTCTACTCAGTGTATGGTGGCTGATATGTTCACCAAGCCTCTGAGTTCTGTAAAAATAAGTAATTTTATGAAAGATATTTCACTGTATCAGAAATTATAAGTTTATTTTTTGTATTGTGCTGTTTGTGCTTATGGTATTTTTTTTTATGTTTGAAACAAAGTTTGGTTTGAGGGGTAGTGTTGAAGTATAGTTTATTGTGAACTTTATATAGCAACCCTAACTTTGTTTATGGTATTATAAAATAAAAAAAAAAAACTTCTTGTGTGTCAATGACAGAACTGAAAAAGGTTGTTTTTTATTTCTCTTCTCCATCGTTAATAATCCATTTAGTTGACTTGTAATAACATATTTATTTGACGTGTAATAACAATAATAATCATAACAATTAGCAATGGCGGAAGCGCGCTCTAGGTCTAGGTACATATGCGAACGTATTGGCGGCCGGCGTAAGACTACTGTAGAGGGTGCCAATGTCTATTATTTATAACGAACGGGTAGATGCCCGCGAGTGGCCCGGATTGGTCATTCTATTATGTTGGTAGTAGTGACGCTGGGTTGTACCATAATTGTTATATATATCTTATAGATTGAGTATGTAAATTGTTAGATTTTAATCGATGTATAATTTATCTTTATTGTTATTTTGTATAATTAATTGCCAATTATACTGCCACACTACCATATTCTCCAGAAGACGTCAAAAATCACCTGGATCAGTTTTTGCCAGCAATGACCAAAAATTTTATGATCGTGGAATCATGCTACTACCAGTAAGATGGTAAAAGATGTCGGATCAGAATGACCAATATAAAATTTAATAAAATATACATTATTCATTATATGAAAATCGTCTTTCATTTTCACCAAAATAAAAAAAAAAACTAAATTACTTTCCAAACAACCCAATAGTTATTATAATAGCAGATCAACAAGGAAGGAACTTGCAGTCATCTTCAAAAACTACTGGATTATATAGTAATTTCTGTGACTTCTGCGACATTTTACGTTTTGAAAGGAAAATCATCAATAAGAAAAGCATCCGATAAATATAATGTAAAACCTGCAACTCTATAGTATAGAATTGAAAAAAAAGAAGAATAAAGACGGCGAAGGCATGAGTTTTCATCTATCTCCAAGCAAGAATTTACAACCGAACAAGAAGACCAACTAAATTCTTATATAATAAAATGCATCATGGGATTACATTAACTAAAGTGCGGCAGCTTGCTTACAAAAAGCTAAAAATTTTAATTGCAACTGTCCACCATCTTGGGATGTCAATTAAAGTGCTGGCTTAAATTGGGCATATAGTTCATATAGTTTTACGTAAGAGAAATAAAAATATTAGATTAAGAAAACCAGAAAACACAAGTGTTGCCCGATCATTTTCATTAAATAAGACTGCCGTTAAAACCTTTTTTTAATAATTTTGAAGATGCACGAAGATTTAATATTACAGCTTGTATTATTAATTTCGTTTAAACCGGCATTGCAACGGTTATAACACCAAAGATAATAGCAGCAAAAAACTCAACGTGAAATTGGCCAAAAAATTTCGCCAGAGAGAGGAGAGTTGATGACATTTTGAGGAATCATTACTGGAACTGCCAATAATATTCCACCTATACATGTTTTTCAGGGTTCATTACAAAAGCCATTTTTTAAATGGTGCTCCTGAAGAGTCTTTGGGCTTATCAAATCTACTTAACCAGATCTACTGATTGGATAAATAGTGAATTATTTATAGAGGTTCTTAAACATATCCAAATACATATGTTTGTATTGCATTGTATATGGTTACATATATAAAACACAAATAGCACAAAGGAAAGACCGATTCTTCCAATTTGTGACAATCACGAGTCATATATTTCAATTGAAGCAATTAATTATTCACGTGAAAATGGAATTGTTTAATTATTGTTTCTTCAACATACTCGTACATCTTACAACCTCCAACCTCTTAATGTCAGTGTTTTCGGTTCGTTTAAAACAAAACTCTAGGTAGCCTTCAATGACTAATGGCACATTAATCACGTTAACTATTTATAATATTCCAGGTTTTTATTAAGTATGTACGGGTGGCTACGTCCACCTTTATAAGCCATTTGATCTTGTCTATTAAACCAGTGTGTAACCGACCTCTGTGTTCACTTGTCGCGCTATATACAATAGTGGCGACGACCGCGCTCGCGCGTTTATTTTATTATTGTTAACTATGGCTGAGTTACCGTTTGGTGGAGCACCCACTTTCGACTTCACAACCAATCAAGATTTCCAAATTTACCTACAACGGCTGGAACAGTGGATGTTGGTTCATGATTCCGGTGGGAACGATAAGGCGAAGGTCAAAAAGAGGGCATTACTACTCAGCACACTCAGTGAAGCGACATACAAGTTAGCCATAGATTTGGCTTTGCCGAATAAGTTGGAGGAGTTGGAATATGAGAAAAACTGAAAATGAGTTACGAGGAGTCGAGCTGGCGTAGATGAGGAACGAATCGTGTTCATCCAACCCCCCGTTCCCCTTCGGCGATCGAGCGAGCAAATGTTTCAGAGCCGAATCGACCCGCTGAAAGTCAACCTAGCCCGAATGTGGTTGACAAGTATACGGGTCGGCAAGATACTAACGAGGACAACAAGGACACCGTCGGTAGGGGAGATGACCACGTGGCCGCGGCGAGCGTATGCATTACACAAGCCGTAAGTTCGACGTGTTCTCGCAAGTAGAATGCGAGCGCCATTGCACGAATGCAGTACGAGGCAAGACGACCGTCGCCCTTCAACGAAAGCAGCTGCAAATGGAAACGGAATTGATACAGATGAAGTTAGACGCAGACACGGCAGCGTTGCAGGAAAGCAGCCAGGACGAAGAAGATGAACCAGCTGAATAAGTGGAAGATCGAGTCAACGCCTGGATGCAGGATAGCATGAACGCCTTACGGGGGGAGACATCCAGGGTTAAGGCTCAACCACTGGTTCAACAACAAGAGAACATCCACGCCAGAAAAACGAAGCCATTGGAGAAGGTGACACGCATTGAAGAGGACCATACGCCCCAAGCCAGGAAAGCAGTAGCGCCCCTGCTAAATGCGTCCACTCATCCAGAACAAGTGACGAACACACTAAAGCAATGTTTTGGACGGCTGGAGGTGATAGCAGACCAAATGATGGAAGAACTGAAGCGTCTACCAAAGCTTGGCGGATCACCGACGGAGCTCAACACGTTCGCTGTGAAAACAAAGAACGCCGTCGTCGTGTTGAAAAAATTGAGAATGGGCTACCTTCATAACCCGTTAATGCTTAGGGAGGTGTTAGAGAAACTCAGCCCACGTCAAAGGGCCCGGTGGTACGATTATGCAGAGTCAGAAATGGAAGCATCGGACCAATCGGAGATCGTGCTGCTATCAGAGTTCCTGATTAAGGAGGCCAACTGAGCACTCAAATATGGCTTCACCACTGCTCTGGCCGGGAAAAAGGAAGCATCACGATCGCCCTTAGGCCGTGTCCCCAGTAGGCAAACTGTTAGCGGCCGACTGAGTTTGCGGCGTATCGATTTAGTACGCCCTTCCATATATTTGAAATGGAGTGTCCACAGTCTGCTAGTTTTGCGCTAACTGTACGCGGTTTGCAGCGTTACGCGCGCTGACTATCTCAGTGAGCGGCCGACTCCCACCAAAACCGGTTTCAGTCGGCGGCGGCGATATGGTTGTTTGCCGGGCGTAGTGACTCAGTTTGCCGCAAACTGTTCATGCGGACCGTTAGAAAAAAGGTATTGCCGTGTTTGGATGTGTTTTTTTGCATCGCACCTAACTAATCTCAACGCACACACACATCACAGATGTCCTTTGATACGGAAAGGTTTATTAGTGAAATACAGAATAGACCATACATATAGAACGTCGAGTGAAGAATACAGCAACAGAGTATTAAAGCAGAGCAATTGGAATGAAGTCGCTGATATTATTTACGATGATTGGCAAAACTTAGAAGAAAACACTAAACAAAAAAGAAGTAAGTTCCATTTAAATTAATTTATTACTTATTCAACAATATACTTGTATCACTCACTACATAAAACAAAGTATCATCATTTACCTACATATTATTTATGGCTTTACAAACTCCGTTACACTATTTCGTCCTGTAGCTAAAACTTACAAATACTATTTTGCCAGGGTAGCTTTCCTTCGTTAAGAAAATAGTTTTTAAAGTTTTCTTTTGCTGTTTTTCCAGAATTTGATACAGTAATAATTTGGTTCCTTGTACTTGTAAGAGTTGTTGAGGTACGTCGCGAAATATGTGCATATTGTACTTGTTCTCTTGCTATGACAAAATTATGTAAAATACAAACAACTTTTACGATAGCGATGATTGTATTCACATTAGTTGCAATCGGTGTATGCAAAACTCTCCATTTGCTTGTTAGGATGCCGAATGCATATTTCACGCATCTCCTAGCCCGGTTATGACGATAATTGTAAATTCGCTCTTCCTTATTTAAACTTTTATTAGGAAAAGGCCTCAAGATATGCTTTTGTAATCCAAATGCCTCATCCCCAAGAAACACGAAAGGTTGGGGCAATCCATTTGAATTAGGCAATTTAGTAGAGTTAGGAATCTTCAGAGACCCACGAGCCAATTTTTTACCAAAAGCACTTTCTTTAAATATATTGCTGTCAGTATTTCGTCCGCAAGCACCTACATCAATGGCAATAAAAACAGTTTGCATCTGTTACGGCTAACAGAACAATTGAGAAAAACTTCTTATAATTAAAATAGTTAGACCCACTTTTTGGTGGTTTTCGAATACGAATATGCTTGCTATCGATAGATCCTATACAATTAGGATAATTGGTTTTTTTATAATATCGTTTTGCTATTTCTAGCCACAATGCTTCAGAAAGTTCTGGAATTTCCTGTGGCTGTAAAATATCCCATATAATGCATGTAGTTTCATTTATTATTTTCGATGTTAAAGACCTATAAAAAAAATGGAAGGGTTTGCGCGACTATCACGCCAGAGAAAAAAATAAAGATTCCTCACTCAAAAGCGGAAGTGGGGCACCAAAAAAACGCAAGACACCTTACTTGGACATGTTACACTTTTTAAATGTTTCTAGAGCTAGCAACCAGACATCTGGCAATATTAGCGCCGAGACGTCTAACGACAGTAGCGCTGTATTAGATGAAAATGATTCTACTGACTCGGTAGTCAATGTCAGTAGACCAAAAAAGATGACTGTGTTTCAAGAAGCACTAATTAACAAGTGGACTACGTGCATCGCCAAGCTGGATTCCGGTCGCAATCGCAGAAAAGTACTACGAAACATATCCAGCGAGCTGCGGGTACACGGTGTAACATAGGCCATAACTAAAAACGACAGTTATGAGAAGACGCTAGGCCTGTTATGGGATTCGACGAAAGATGTACTTAAATATAGTACATCTCTAAATCGAGTAAACAAGGAGGTCAAAGACGGAAAACGACCACCAACGAAGAGGGAAGCCCTAAGCGCGGTAATGAGCATATATGACCCGCTGGGGCTGTTAAGTTGCTACACGATCACTGCAAAGAGCGAATTACAGAACCTGTGACGACAGAAGGTGGGCTGGGACGAGAGAATACCCACGGCGTTCGCTGAAGTATTCGCCGAGTGGCTAAGAAGTCTGGAACACATTAGCCATATTGAGCTGCCGCGAAGCTACAACGGGGAGAGTCCAGTACAGAACCGCCAACTTCACGTGTTCTGCGACGCAAGCGAGGATGCTTACGCAGCGGCCGCTTATTGGCGGCTAGAACAAAAAGATGGGAACGTGCGAGTGATATTGGCAGCGGCGAAAGCCAAGGTGGCGCCGCTCAAGACACAAACCATCTCGCGGATGGAACTCTAGGCGACATTGACAGGGGCACGACTGGCGCACCACGTACGTGACGAGCATCGCTGGGATATAGATAGGATCACGTACTAGACAGACGCACGCGTGGTGCTGCATTGGGTGAGGAACGGGAGGAAGCGATAAACTCCTTATGTTGCACACCGGCTGGGGGAGATCGCCGAGCTGAGCGCCCCGCACCAATGGAAATGGGTACCAACGAAACAAAACGTAGCCGACTTAGCGACGAGACCCGGATACTTGCCGCAAGACGCTGACGATGCGTGGTTCACCGGGCCAGCGTTACTAAGACAACTGGAAGTCGAATGGCCATAGAATATGCCGGAGCAGCCAAGAGAAGAAAGCGAGCAAGTCGTATTACACGCTAACAACACGTGTTCGCTCTGTTTACCAGAACTGGAGCGTTTCTCAAATTACAAACGCCTCATCAGAACGACGGCCTGCGTGCTACTCTTCATACAGAATTGTAAGGGCCCGAAGGGAGATTTGGCCGTTGAACATCTGGAACGGACGGAAAATTTGTAGATAAGGCAGGCACAGGGGGAAGACTTCCCAGCAGAATTAGAAACCCTTCGAAAAGGCAAGCCGATCTCGAAATCTAGTCGACTATATCGCCTCGACCCCGTTTACAAAAATGAAATGCTGCGTGTCCATGGGCGAATTGGTGCAGCCGACGTATCGAACGCTGTGAAACGACCAGGTTAGTGGTGGCGCAAGAACACAAATTGTAGGCGACTTACATATTTAATATAAACTTTATTTTGTTTATTTATTTACAAATATTTATTTATATATTGTAGGTCACTTACACAATTAATATTATATTTTATTTATTTATTTACAAATATTTATTCACATATATTTATTTATATATCTTACACACACTAAATCGTACGGATGTAATGAAAACATGCAGTCGAGTAGCGTTGCCGCTACAGATGGGCAAAGCACCGGGTTTAAACCCGGTGCTTTGGTAAAAACCCAATAAACACCCATAAACTCCCATAATCACCCAAAAAAATAGGTTTTTACGTATTTTTTTGAAAATATGTAAGTAATACCAATAAATTATTTTTATAAATTGTATTGATCAATTCTACAATATTAAATAAAACGTTAACTAATAATATTTCAGGAAATTTTAAAAATCTATATATAATAAAATGAAAGTAATTAATTTTCAGTGTTTTCATGTTGCAGTTGATCAACATGTTGGCCTTTTGCTTCCCGTAGATACTTTAAAATTTCTTCATAACACCTCGTTCGCACACATGGCCGTATATATTTAAATTCTTGAGCCACTAACAGTCCGAAATACTCATTTCTTTTATCCTCTTCTCCATAAATTAAGCATTTAGAACAGTTTGTTTCTTCTTTCAGTAAATTTTCTTTTACTTTATCCTCGTTTCTTTTCTTTGTTGCGACGACGCTGGGTAAATCATCTGGACACTGGGTCTCACTATCGCCAAATATATTTGGAGATCGGCTTCGGCTACGGCTTGGCAGACATTTTTTTCTTTCTACAATTTTAAATTAAATTTATTAGAATAAATGCTTCGAACACACGCGATCTAAGTACCTTTTGTGTTTATTATACCTTACCTACCTAGGTATAAAAAGAGTACTTACGTAGATTTTCTTTTATTAACTGTTTTATACGAAGATCTTGATCTCTCAAATTAGCATCCATTTTACTTCCAGTGATTATCAACTAAATTAATAATCCACAAAGTATTAAATAACGTTTTTATGAAATATTTAGCACAAAAACAATACCCTTTAAATATCGATCGTCAGTAACTGTGGCTGACTTACCTATATTCTAGCAAGCAGGACTGCCAGACGTGAAGGGGAAATCCCCAATAAATTGTTGCATGTGACTGATGATGTGAGCATGTTCGTTTCATAATAAAAATGTTGCCAGGTAACCAAAAAGTCGTATGTTTTTGTGCGAATTACGATCATAATCTTTACGATCGTACATTAAAAAATAGACAAATAATAGTATGAGTACGATTTAAATCGTATATCTGTCAACCCTGCTAGCAAGACAGCGACAAAATCACGTTGCATAACAATAGCCCAAGCTTATATCTTATGAAATATACGGAAGAGATACGGACTTAGAAAAAACAGAAATGTTGTTCTTTGTGGAAGTCATTGATGAAATTCTATGTATTTTAGCCCGCAAACTTTCTTCAAACAAAAACAGCGCCATCTAGTATCGAGTTCTGTAATTATCTCTTTGTTTATGGATTTGAAGTAAGACCGCCACGCATGCAATACATTATGACTGGGGATTCCCCTATTCGTCGACGCTGAATATGAGGCGACGACAATCACTGTCAAACGTGTTCACTATTACTCTGACTCTGGTAACGTGACTTCCTGGTAACGTGTTAGGTAGGAAAAGCAGTAAAAAAGTGCATATTAAGGGAGCAGATTTGAAATAATATTTATACTTAACAAGAAATAATTAAAGGTAAGTGGATTTTTGAATGATACAATTATATCATGATCACTTAACAATTTTAACTTAAAATTAGATGTATTATTACAAGCTTTTATTTAGCTTGCGTTATGTAAATAAAAGTATGTAGGTATGTTCGTATGTTGATGCAATTATCCTCAATCCTCAACCGACTGGGATAAAATTTTCCATACACGTTTATTTTGGATGATAGTGCATAGTTAGCTGAGAGTCGTCATTGGATAATAATGGTGGATAGCCTAAGATGTGTACTAGATATTTATTTTTAACATAATATGCGTAAGTACCTAATCGAATTAAAGAAGTTGCTGAGAAAAATACAGAACAATACGATAATAAACTAGCGTCTGCGTTTAATCCTCCGAGGAGATGTAATTTTACAAAGGCTTTTTGTATTTATTTTATTATTTTTTTAATAAATTTATTGTAAATAACAAGAAATAATCATTGTAAAAAAATAGGCACTCTATTGTTGAATTTTCGTCAGACCAACTAATCATCGTTCATTTTTTTAGGTTCAATGGGGAGACCTAAAGATTTACGCATATGGGAGCACTACCGTACTTTACCAAACAAGTCTGTTTCTTGCAAGCTTTGTAATAAGGTCTACAAATTCAGTAATGCTGCCAAAATGCTTCAACATCTTATCACTTGTCCAAAATCTCCAGAAACATTAAAAGACTCTATGAAACTTATAAAAGATAGCTCGTCCAAAACCAAAATGTCTGGACTGTCAGAGATAGAGACAAATGATTCTTTTATAAGCCCCTCGTCGTCTGCTAACACTACAATAAATGCTGAGTTTCAAGACACCGATGATCATATAAAAACAGAATTAGCGAGAGCTATATTTGTAACAGGGACGCCATTATCGATGGTGCAACATCCTTTATGGATACAATTTTTCGAAAAATTGCAACCAAAATTTAAAATACCTTCACGTAAAGCTTTAGCGACAAAATACTTAGATAAAATATATAGAGAAATGCGTTTTGAGTTAAATGAGGAACTAAATGCTTGTAGTTACTTACACCTTCAGTGCGATGGCTGGTCTAATTTAAGAAATGAAGGAATAATAAACTTTCTTATATCAAAACCTCAACCTGCATACGTTAAAAGTTTGAATACAGAAAGTAATCCTCACACTAGTGAATACCTTAGCCAAGAAGTTGAAAAAGTAATGAAAGTGTATGGAGCAAATAAGTTTCTTGTACTTATTGGCGATAACGCTAGAAATATACAAAAGGCATTCGAATTAACAAAACTCAAATATCCACATGTTGTTCCTCTCGGTTGCTGTGCACATATCCTTAACTTGTTGTGCCAAGATATTGTAAAGATACAAGAAGTAACTGTGTTTATTATGCAAGCCATAAATATAATAAAAACTGTTAAAAGGAGTCAACGATTAAGTTCCTTGTTGATAAAATCAAGGCAGGGTGAAGATTCTACACAAACACTAAAATTGCCTTGTGCTACAAGATGGGGAAGTCATGTTACTTCGTTAAAAAGTTTGAAAGCAAATAAGATAGCTTTGCAAATATTAACAGTTAGAGAAGATGTGGTAATTTCAAGAGATATTAAAGATTTAATTCTAAGTGATGATTTCTGGACGAAGACAGGGGAATGTATAAGTATTTTGGAACCAGTCACTGAAAGCATATTTTACTTAGAGAGCGACCAGAATCGTTTGCATCGCACATACATTACATTTAGAGATGTACAAGCTAAGATACGTTTTGCATTAAATGAGATTTCGACATTGAGCGAAGAAAGCAAACAGCAGATTCTAACATCAGTATCTTCAAGATGCAATATGGCAATGAGGCCAATACATTTTGCAGCATATATTCTAGACCCCAGGACTCTAGGAGTCGAACTTACTCAAGAGGAAGAACTTAAGGGTATGGAGTTTATCTACAATTTAAGCCAACACTTAAGTTTGTCAAATGTAATGGCAGATTTGGCGTGTTATAAAGCTAAAGAAAACTTTTGGGCCAGAGGATTTGTATGGAGCTCATTAGATAGCATTGAGCCCCTAATATGGTGGAAAGGTATTTGTGGTTCCACTGAGTTAAGCAAAGTAGCGATTCGTATTCTATCAGCTCCCTGTACTTCGGCAGCCACTGAGCGTTCCTTTAGTATCCAAGGCTACATACATAATAACAAAAGAAATCGACTTACAACTGAAAGAACTGAAAAAATTTCATTCATTTGTTATAACTGGAATCTTAAACATAAAGCTGAATGCGAGGACATTCAGTTTAATGAAGAAAATACCTTAGAAGCTTTCATTGAGCAAGTAAATGAACATAACAGTTTAGACGAAATAGAGCCTATCGAACCTATACAATTCATCGCTTGTAATAACTCTGAATCTGACAGTGATTGACTGTAGTTTTACATTTTACTTTCATCTCTTTCTTAATAAACTCAAAATCAAATTAAAAGTTTTTTATTCTGTAGGCTGCATAATAATATTGTCTATGTCCAGTATAGTGGACGTCTTGCGGCTGAGATGACGATGATGAAGTACAAAATCATAAACACCCAAAAATTTGGGTGTTTATGGGGTTTAAACCCAATAAACCCAAAACACCCGGTTTTTACCCACCAGACTTTAAACCCACCCAGGTGGATTGCCCATCTCTAGTTGCCGCTCGATCTATTTTTAACCCGTGGCGGTGGCCGCGCGGCCTGCGTGGACGCATAGATCAGTCGAGAACTATCGCTTTGCTGGACAGTTGTTAACTTACGTTATAATATTTAGATATAGCTTCACGCTTATTTTATGTATATAGTTGCTAATTATTATTTTTATCTGTGTCCTCAATCTTTGTAATATATATATAGCTGTGCTCGTATAATCGTTCTCCTTCTGTATTTATGTGATTTGTGAATATTCTGTGTGGATGTACTAAAACATTATATAGGTAGTAAGTCGGACCTTTAATTTATATACTGATCTATCAACCACAATACCCACATCATCATCATATTTCCTAAACAAAGCATCGGACCACTTAAACTAAGAGAGAACGGTTCAGTATTTCAAGAGTTTGGATAATTATCCGGAATCAAAAAAGCTTGCAGCACGCATTCTCTGCATGTTTGGTAGCACCTATTTATGTGAGCAGATGTTTTCCGTCATAACAATAAATAAGAACAAACATCGCACAAGACTTAAGAATGAACATTTCCAATCAGCCCTTAAAATAACTACAACGAATGTGATACCTGACATCAATGAGCTTGTCAAAAACAAGAGAAGTCAGGTATTTGGATTCTCGAGCTCAATATAACCTACCATCTTTTATAACTTTGATATGATTTTTAACAACCGTATATTATATACTTATATAATTTAATAAATAAAATGTTATAGTAATTCAGTTTATATTTTTTATTTTTAATCTGGTACACCTAATTTAAAATTTGTATGGCCCTCTGCAAAATTGAGTTTGACACCTCTGCTCTAAGAAGTATCGTACTGTAGATCTAGAATTACTTGAGATAAAACTAAATAAACAGGAATACAAACAATGGGAAACAGCAAAAAAAGGAAATTATTCTTAGAATTCTTTGGATTTTAGCAGTAAGATGGGATGATGAAGTTCCAAATAATATAATTAATGAGTGAAGTTAAAGACTTATCTCAATTAAAGAAAATTGACATACCGAAATGGCATGGATATCAAATCATATTATCACAACTCGAATTACATGGATTCTCAGACGCGTCTAAGATAGAATATGCAGCTGCAGTTTATATACGATTAATAAACTCACGTCCTTTATCCAGAACAGATTCAAATCAAGATACCATTGATGTTTTTACGCCGAGGCATTTTCTTGTCGGTGGTCCATTGCTAACCGCTCCAGATCACAATTTTAAGAAGTCAAATATTTCTAGTCTTCAAAGGTGGCAGTTGATACAGAAAGTGACGCAAACTTTTTGGAAACGATGGTCTCAAGAATACCTTACAAGGTTTCTTCATCAGTATAGGTGGTCGTATCAAAAGTCAAAACCTGATATTGGGGACATAGTTTTAATAAAAGAAGACTACTTACCTCCTTGTCGATGGCTACTCGGACGAGTGGTTGCCAAATATCCGGGTAAGGACAACATCACGCGAGTAGTTACTATACGGAATCAGATTTCAGTATTCAAACGCCGCGCATCCAAATTATGTGTGTTACCAGTTATTAAATAAATTGTTATCTATTAGTTATTAAGCTGTGTCAACATTTATTAGTTAATAAGATAATAAGCATTAGCTCTTGCTGCCAAATTGTTCGTTTATTTTTGTCATTATAAGCATGGTGGGCGGTTTGGTATGTGAAGGACAAAATTATGTCGTTAGTGGGCGGAATGTATAAGTTTGTAATAAAATTGTTTAGTACCTGTTGTAATGTGTTTCCGAACGTAATGTTTTACTCTGCTCTGTGTTAACTAATTTATGAGGAGAATAAAAATGTGGAGTAAGAATTAAGGAGTATTATTATTAAAACTATTAGTCCTATATTAATAAAGCATCTATCTACATATAACATGGTGACAGCGGTAAAGTATAAGTATTCAATATAAGTTTCAAAAAAGAAAAGAAAGAAAGATTCGTATAAATTTTATTAATCGTCATCATGGCGGAAAGAAATAAAAACTCTGCAATGGTAATCCAGCCTGAACAAGTAAAAAACATTAAAATAATACCGCCTAATACTTTTAATTTTATACCGGAAGAATGGCCAAACTATAAAACCAGATTCTTTATATGAATATGAATCTTTCAGGCAATAATGACAACACGGACAAAGATGAAATTGACTGTCTACTATATTGCATGGGTGAAAAAGCAGAGGACATGCAATAAATTAAAACTGTTTACTATTCAAGGATGGCCAGTAAAAACAAATTAGGAGAATTCAAATACTATTATCAATATAAGGAAAATTTTTCAATTGAAAGTGACCTGCTTTTATATAATTCCAGGATAGTAATACCAAAGAGTATGCAAAAGGACATGTTAAATAAAATTCATAAAAGTCATTTAGGGATATCAAAGTGTAGAGAACGAGCCAAGCAGTTAGTGTGGTGGTTAGGAATATCGAAGGATATTGAACAAGTTGTAAAAAACGTGTCCCAATTGTATAGAGATGCATAAAAATCATAGAGAAAACATGATTATAGATCCTGTACCGGATAGGCTTTGGCAGAAAATAGGATTAGATCTTTTCAAGTATGATAACATTTGGTATCTCGTAATGATAGATTATAACTCCAGATTTTTAGAGATATTAAAGCTTAAAGATCTCACTGAAAATACAATAATTATTCATTGTAAATCTGTATTTTCTACATATGGTATACCAGAGGTGGTTCGTAGTGATTGTGGTAATTAGTTTAAATCACAGTTTGTTTCGTTCGGTAAAGAGTATGGGTTTAAGCTAGTAACAAGTAGTCCATATTATTCACAAAGTAATGGACTCGCAGAATCAGGAGTCAAAATAGCTAAAAGCCTCTTGGCAAAGAATACTGATATTTATTTGGCTTTATTGGTTTATAGAAATACTCCTTTGGAATCTGGGTTTAGCCCAGCAGAACTAATGTTCAATAGGAAATTGAGAGATAACCTTCCTATTTTACCACACAAATTGAATAAACCCGTAATAATAGGAGATGAATTTAAAAACAGATGGATGACTAAAAAATATAAAGATGCTTATTATTATAATAAAAGGCGTAGAACTACTGCTGCTTTAAAACAATTAAATATTAATGACAAAGTTTGGATTACGGACTTAAAAACATATGGTATTGTTATTAAGAAATGTTCAGAACCTAATTCATATATTGTTGATACTGGCAATGGAAAATTTAGAAGAAATCGTTGACATCTAAACTTTGTGCCTTATGATATCTCCTCATTGGGAGATTCAAAACCTTTGTTCTACACATGCGCACATGGCTGTCTTGGTATCAGAAGATATCTTTAGTTGATGTAGTGCATAAGTGAATCTAGACAAGTTGGTAACCACACTCTGCACATGCGCTTTCCAATTAATATTCGAATCTATATTTATACCTAATAGTGGATATTTCTCTACGCAATCTATTGTAATATTATTTTAAGAGTAGTTAATTTGCAGCGGGTTCTTTTGGAATGGTCTGAAAACCATCAATTTAGTTTTATTAAATTTTACTTTTAAATTATGTTTGGGGGACCCCAAAGGATGGTCAGGATGATGGCAGGATGGTCAGCGACAATGTCGTTCAGATTGTTAGCGAGGTCATACAGCAGGTTTGCCATGTCTTCAGGATGTCGTTGACTCCGTATTATCACCCCGAGGCGAACCTAGTCGAGCGTAAGAACCGCGACTTAAAGCCGCAACTTGCTATCCACGTAGGTCAAGATCACGCTACGTGGGATTTGTACTTGGTGAGATTTGCTACGAATTCAGCTGTAACTCACAGCACTGGCTACTCGCCAGCCATGCTAATGTTTGGGCGAGAGATGCGCGCCCCTGCCGATGTTGTCAACGATATGCGTACTATCGCTGATAACGACCGGTTCATACCGAATATTACGCCCTATCTCAGAAGGTTATCTACAGCCCTCTTGGATGCTAGAGACACACACGAAAAAAGGCAGGCATACTACATACGACTCGTCGTGCTACTCCTGTATATGAGGTGGGCGATCTAGTTCTATTAAAAACTGAGGGTCCAAATGACGCCGGTCGAGGTCAGACTCCCAAATTCATCCCTGGGCACGACGCGACCCTTATAGGATAGGCAAAGTGTTAAGCGTTTCAACTTACCTTTTAGAGCGTAGCAACGGAGAGGTATTAGGGAAGTACCATTCGTCGCAATTGGTTCCATTTGTGGGTCAGTTGCAACAGCCTCTGCAAGAAAAGCGCAGCAGGGGACGTCCACGTAAATCATAATTCTGACGCGAATGTCCAGGTGCTACTCCAAACGCGAGCGCGCTTTGTTTCGACTAGAGGAGGAGACTGTAACACCGAAATGTATACGTATTACGTATGTATAGTAAGTACCTACGCCGTGAGACTCATCTAAACGTACAGCGCATGCGCGACCAATAAGAGCGCGCCTCTCGCGCTCCCGAAAGTTCGCGGGTAACGGACGATATAGTAGTAAGGCGATGAGTGTTCCAGTGACATTATTATAAAACTGTTTCTTGTCAAATTTTATTGTAATACACACAATTTCATAATAAATAACGTGTTACTCCATTACATTAATTAATTTAAGAGGCAATTGCAGTTGTATTCATTTGCATTTTTGTCGTATTTCGCGAAGAGAGAGACTGTTTAAAAAGCAGCGCTGTGCAGCTGTACACATTGCACTGGGACACTCACAGCATCAGCTGAGCCGGTTCCTTTTGCCTAATATGTATTAATATAAGGCACTTCTTATATATGTATTTTCTATTGTAATTGTGTTTTTCTGACAAAACATTTTATATTCTATGTTATCTATATTCTATTTAATATTCACTGTGCTGACCTTGATTATAATTTTTGTATCTATATAAGACCATATAACTAGGCTTAAGATTTATTATTATTATTTTAGTCTATATATTTATATTATTATTTTATAATAAAGTTTTTTTTTATTATTTAATCCACCGCCA